CTATTCAACCACTTCCACTTGGGCAACCTTTGTCTAAGAAGGTATCTATCTAAATCTTTGTCATTCATTCTTGTTCAAATGTAAATACTTCAGAAGTTCTTATCTTCTTCTTAACAGGTAGAGAAACAGTCTGCTCACTTCTATTCTGTTACAATAACAGAAAAGGAAGCGAAAGGGGGCCTTGTTTGCCGAGTTCATTCACGAGAAAAAAGTAAATTTAAGGTTCGTCAAAATCTAAAGCCAAATATGCTTAGGTTTACTTTATTGTGTATATTTGTTCAACCAAATGCTTGCTACTTGGACTCAGAATTCTGATGATAGAAAATTCATTTTGGTCAGTTGGCGAATAAGAGTGGAGAGCTTTTTCTACTGGAAGACTGCTACATTACTAATAAAGGACTCCTAGGTTTACTGTTGCATGTGCAGACTTAATGACTTATTTGTGTCACTTAGCAATAATTTATATTTAGCCTAGTTAGTGGCTTAATAGTGTGCTTCTAGGATATTTCCAAATGTATCCATCCTCAGATGGGCACTCTTTTGTTTCCCTGATAAATGATTTGATAGACACAAACTCTTAGATGCTTTCGATATTCTCTTTTGTACCGAATCATCAAGCAGAGTGATACTGATTTCAGACTATATTAATATGAGAGTATCATACTATGATTTCCATCATTGATTATAATATGATCTAGTTACTTCAATTTGTTTTTTGGATCAACTCAATTTTTTCCACTGTGTTGATCTGTTTTGAGTTTGTCACAGTTTGGTAATTTGAATTGCATGTCTGCAGCTATTGTACTTTGACCAAGAAGAAAATGGTGGACTAAGCCTTGCATTACAGGTTCGAATTTCTTTCCGTTCTTTTGCTTGCTCCTTATTGTGGTCAAGTAATCTAGGATCACACTTCAAATTTCATGGTAGTTTAGGCTTGAAGAGCACAGTGAGCTCCTTTTTTTCTTATAAATATGTGGATATGGATATCTGTTCTCTGTTCGAATCAAGAAGTTTATGTCTAGTCCTAAAAGATCCTTTTTAAGCAACAATAATAAGTTTCTCATTAGCCCCCAGGCTGAAGTTCACTCGACAAAGATCGGGGGACTTTGTGGCTTAAGCCACTAGTTCAGGCCCTACGCCAAGCGAACTAAGCCTACTATTTAAGTGGGGAGGGGTCAGGGGAGGGTCCATCATCCCCGGGTTTTGAGGGCTGCACTTCTGCAGTTGTTCCTAAGGGTTGGCTCCAGATGGGGAATAAAGTTTCTCAATTCACTTTTCTGCCGCTTATGCTGAGTTGACGTTCTTTCAATTTTGCTGCATCCGATTTTCATACCCTCGTATAAGCTACGCCATCTGCCCTCAGATTAGTCGCAATCCATCGGTTGCCAAATATCCTCTATCATTGTTGATGCTAATCTGGTTTATGATCCTGGCAGTACTTCATTAATATCTGCTGTAAATTTATTGAGACTTCTTTGCAGGAAGATAGTTCAAAAACAGGGAAAGTCACATCCGCTGGCATGTATTTTCTTGGTTTCCCAGTATATCACTTGGATCAAACCCAGACATCGGTGAGTTTATATCTATGCATAATGTCAATTTTTTGTACGTTCCTCTTCAGTTTTGTGTCCATGTGTTCACATTATTTTGCTGCTTGAGCTAATATATAGGCAGCAGCCACAAAGGATCCGGACTCTGCATTTTTCAAGAAACTGGATGGATTTCAACCATGCGAGATAACTGAGCTCAAAGCTGGCACACATGTTTTTGCAATTTATGGTATCTTTCCCTTGCCAATCTGAACTTTCAATGCAATTCAATGGAAATATGATACTCAGCACCTCTCTCTATTTCCTGGTTGACTTTTGCAGGTGACAATTTTTTTAGAAGTGTGAGCTACACCATTGAAGTGGTCTGCGCTGAACCTTTTACCGAGGAAAAAGAGAATCTTAGAGCAGTAGAAGCTCAGATTTTGTCAAAAAGAGTGGAACTGTCTAAGTTTGAAACAGAATATAGGGAGGTCTGTGCTCCTTCGTTCATTAATTGGCGATCTCTTTCTTTATGTTTCTTTTATCTTATTGGTTCCTTCTTTTAACTGACAGGTCTTAACACAATTTACTGAGATGACAAGTAGATATGCTCAAGAAATGCAAGCTGTAAGTTAGATGCTTTGTGAACTTCATCTGCAACTCTAATTTCTTTACCTATTTGAATTGATTTTATATTCCTAGGAAAAAAGTTAAATTATTGTTTCAACTTCTTTGCTAATCAATAGATTGATGAGCTTCTTAAGGACCGCAATGAAATTCATGCTTCCTATACGAGTCTTCCTGTGATGAAACGTAGTAGTAGTAGTAGCAATCGAAATAAGAACAAAGGTGGATCCAAGGCAGCCAGTGAAGATGGCCCAGTAAAAGAAAAGAAGTCTTTAAGAGACCGGACGAAGAAGAAGAAATGGTTCAACATTCCCTTAAAAGTTGACAAAAGGAAAGCTTGTTAATTAGGGTGAGCTTCTTTTTGTTGTATCATATCACTTCCTTTCGACTGCTATACATTTATATTTCTATTTTACATGCAGTGTATAGAGAAACAACGGAACTGAATGAGTAGTTGCAGAGGTACACTTCCTATTAGTCCAAGCAACAAACCTGTTGCAGGACTTACAAGAATTCTTTCAGTGGGACTCCATTGCAGTAACTAGCCATATCACTATTGCGCTGAAATATTGTTATTTATGGAATGGTGTTGACACGGGAAGTACACGAAAAATTCTTTCCTTGAACACTCACACATGTAAATTGCATTATTCAATCACAAGTCTTTCTTGAATGTGCTATGCTTGTGTGTGTGTGTGTGTGTGTTTAAGTGGTAAAAAAAGTTGGTTCTTTTGTTAGTTCAGACAAAGAACTAAATACAAAAAAGTGTAAGATACAAGATTGTTGCTCTTTTGTCCTCAGATGCCTAATATGTATATTATAAGTCAGCATTTACATCTTTTTATTAGTTTCTTGGGAGTCTGAACACTTTGATTGAATATATAATAGACCAACTAGATTCTGCCAAAAGCTATATTGGATTTTGTTGCTTGCAAAACTCATGCTAGTCTAGGAGTTGTCAGCCTGTCACCCATGTTCAACACCCCCTCTTCGCCCACACACACATCTGAGGTGAGGTATTGAGCTCTAAGATGTCATTTGATGTGAAATAAGTCGATAAAGTCTAAATTGATGAGCTCTTAACATGTCATCATCTGATATGAAACAAGTTTGATAAAAGTCTAATATCAATTTCAGAAATTCGAAAAGGGTAAATGTGTATCTTGAGTAGCCAATTATTTCTGTCTCAATCATATAATGCAAACATATTACAAGATTGGATCTTTTAGTAGTGATTGACAAAAAATGACTAAAATCTTGATTGAAATTGGAACAATTGATGTGTGGATTTCGACTTGATACATGATTTTGGACATATCTGTCGTTAAAATATCTACTTTATACAACAGGCTGATGTTATTCTATGGTCTGCAATTAGTAACAAACAAACCAACGAAAAGAAAAAAAACACTTGCGAAGTCGTTTAGTTGGTGAGATAAAGATAATAATTTCAGGTTAAAATGTGAGATTATATTATCCCACATTTCGTTATTGATATTAATTAATTCCAAAATTATTTTATCCCATCATACGTATTAAAATGGTGGAATTAGTTATTCCATATTTACGTGAGATAACTATTCCCACACTTGCAAGATTGATACAATCATGTTTGTAAATATGTGATTAATACGTTCATCTTTATATAAATACGAGATCAATGACTTAAATAAATGGAGTCTTTAATTCTTTACACAATGCAGACATTTTCTATAGCCAAATGTTGAAATTACAAGAGGTCAAAAATGTTCACATTGGAACATAATAATAATACATATAATGTTCTATGGAAACTATACATATTATAATCCAAAAGCACCTTGACACTAAAACATGTCTTGAGATGATAATCCTTCTTCATCAATAGTAATAATCAACCTAATTAATTGATTAACTACCAATTTTCTTGTAATTGATTCACAACATCACATCTACGTCTCACCTCTCCCATTTTCCCTAATTTAACTTTATAAACACTCACTTTCTCCATTGCATGTGCAAATGCCTTGAAAAATGCATCTTGATCCTTTGCATAAAGCTCCACAAATGGCTTTGTCCTTTGGTCATAAATCATAGCTTGATCAGATGCCAATAACCCTAGCCCCTTTTGCAAGTTTAGGAAATACATGTTGTCGAATTTGCCAGGTGTCATCACGTCATTGAACGCAGCCATATCCTTCGTGTTATTCCCACACAAGGTTTGTAACGCTTGCACATATGTAGGGTTCATAGTAGGATCAAATTCTGACGTCTGACTAAATTTGAATAATCTCTTGCTAAATTCCGAACAATGAGAAAATCCAATTGTATGTGCACCCATTAATGCCACCATTTCTTGTACATTTAAATTTTTTGATGAAAACATATTAATTATTGTGTCCATAGTCATGTTAGGCCTAGCAATATGTCCTTCAACATCTTTTGCGTACGATTCAAAGCTATCTTTTCGCCCTAGGCGAATTTTGTAAAATGGACCTCCAACCATTGTAATCAAGTCACGAGTTGCAACAGCTAAAATATCTGCACAAGATACAATGCCAGGGCATTGGAGTTCTAATGCAGTCTTTGCACGTGTGACAACATCATAAGCGTCCCCCGGGAGGGAGAGGTTGATATCCGTGTCACGCTCGGCTTGGGAAAAGGAATTTGAGGAAATCAATAACGACGCGTCACATCCTCCCACCATGCAATCGTGGAAGAAGAGGCGGAGGGCCCCAGCCGCGGTGGTGGGTGCCGCGAGTTGCTTATCGACGACGATTTGTTGGATGATTTTTTCAAATTGAGGACATGTTTTGTTGTAATAGTCAACATTGAGTTTGGATTCTGTAAGAGAAAATAAGGTTAGAGATGAAAAAAGGAAAATTGAGAGAAGTGGTAATGCCATGACTTTATTGAAAGAGAATTTGTGAGAAAGCAAATGAAAAAAAAAGGCTTCTAGTGTATTTTTGTTGGATTTTTTGGGGGCTAAGAATAAGAGAGGTGTAAATTAGTTATGTTTAATGACGTTTGAAATTTGAGATAGGCAATATTTTGCATGCAACAAACATAAAATAGAGGTCTAAAAATTGTTTAAGGTCCGGTGTTTACTCCTTTCCTTCTTGTTTAATTGTCCATGCCATTAATTAATAGTAATAATTTATATTAGAGCAAACGATACAAATCTCACTAGTTTAGGAGCAAATTACTCTTACTAGAATTTGTATTTTGGATACGTGTATCTCGGATACATGAGTCAAAATTAGGTGTAATTTGTTCCAGATACACTGTATCTGACTAGACTCACATGTATCTGATTCTCTCGCTCGCCTCTTTCCCTCTCTCCCTCTCTCACAATCGCGTCTCTCCGTTCGTATCTGTAGTTCAAAATGTATCTGGGGGATACACAAACTCTCTTGGTCGCCTCCCTCCTATATTGCTTGCCTCTCTCCTCTCTCGTTCGTCTCTCCCTATGTGAATTTGTATTTCAGAGTGTATTTAGTAGAAAAAATACATATACCTAGGTGTATCTAACTTAAAATTTGATACGAAATTATTAATTAGTGAGACAATATGTAATTTTTTCAAAATACATATACCTAGGTGAATCTTCATATAACAATGTTTTGAACCTGAGATTGAAATTCATGACCTCTGATTAAGGAAAGAAATAATCCTTCGTGTGTGGTAGACTACTCAGATAACTATAGATTTAGATGATTAAACCGTGTCAAATTTAAATAGGCAGAAAACAGAATTAGAGACTTATCAAGAAACACCAAGCGAATAAAATTAAACAAATACGAAAGAAAATAATTGTTTATCTGATTCAAACAAAATAATTAAGCTTAAAATATTATGAAGAGAACTAAAAAATTATCTATCTAATGAAATTTACACTAACTATTCATCTGTGGCACAAGGGGAGGCTAATAATATTTAATTAATTGTGAAATTTTTTAATTTTATTTTCGTTTAAATAATTAAAATTTAGATTCAACAACAATAAATTCAATATATTTTTATAAGTGGGATGTTGAGAAAGTGTTAGGATTTTGACTTGATTTTCTTATCATATTCGAATTTTACTTTTCTTTTGGAAGGAAAGTCGAAGTATTATCATAATTGTTTTCACTTTTTCTCAAAGAAAAATACAATTTTGTTTCTTATTTGGTTATTCTTTTCTTAGAGGAAAAGATTGGAACTCTATGAATTGAAAACTCTTCTTCTCATACCCAAAACGCAATATAATCCACAATATAATGTGTTATAGAGTTCTTTTAGGGGGGGATTTTCTGTCAACAGTTTTATGTTTCTTTTATAATAGTCTTTCATATGTATGCCGATTGGTCAAACCATATAATAATATTATATTTCTTTTAGTATAATTTTTTGTTGTCTAATTTATTGCCGATATCATTTGCAGTTGTAAGCTTCCTTATGATGTCTTGGTTCTTTTGAACCCAACTAAAAGGTATACATAGTAACCAGATCTTATCCCTACTTTAAAAAGTTAGAGAGGTTATATTCGAAATTAAAAAAAAATTATTTAATAAAATGCTTAAATGAACATCGTAATAGATATCTTGCATGTGTCCTGAAATTTGAAGAGACTCACTCCTATACTAGCCTGAACAAAATCCCTACCTTAGATATTGCTTAGCTATCAATTTGAAGTCAATTAAAATAGGTTGAATATTTTGTTCATGCTTTGTATGTATGCTTTGGATATTCAGAAAATGGAATCAGTCTATGTTCCACTTCCCGGGTAATTCTCTACCTTTGAGTTAGCTGAACTAGCTTTATCAAGAAGCTTGAATCGTTTATTTACTTTAAGCCTTATTATTGACGCGATAGATTGCTATTTGAAAACATTTTCTATACAAAAAGAATTCCTTCATGCTATACTTAGTTGGATAGTCTTAGTTTAGTTTGAGAAGTCAAGGAAGCATTTGCCTTTTATATTAGACAATATTTTAGAATTTTGAATTTAGACTACTCACATCTTCATATTCATAAATAAAATTTAATACAACATTATCCAACAAATTGTTTTGCAAGGAAATAACCAACATCTTATTAATTGAAATTAATCTTGACTAATATAAATATTAGCAATAATATTACTATGTAAAGTTAAAGACTATGTTTTCAAGGATACTGCACTATAAATTAAAAATAAATAAGAGAAAAAATATAGGTCTTTTAATAAGAATTGATTTTTAATCCCTAATTTAATAGAATCATCCTCGTTAAAAGAGAATAAGAAAATTACTTTCTCAAGGACGAGTTGATAATCATTATATTGGATTTTCTTTTTAAAAAAATTATTCAACTTTGTTTGGACATAATGTTAAAGAAAAAATATTTACTATTTTTATGGCAGTATTCACATATATACTTGTCACATCATATGTCTTTTACATTTCTGGGAATGTTATAAATGTTCTATACTTATTTTATCCTTATTTATAAGTGAACAAGCAAAAGGACTAACACAATATAAAGTAATTGTACTAAAAGTAACGAAAATTGTATACCATAAACTTGGGCCCATTTATTTTCTTTGTTTTCTTGCGTAAGTCCACGTGTATGCATGTAAGTTCAAATATCCTCCAATTTTTCTTTCTTTTTTTGGCAGACACCTAATACCATCTTTATTTGTTTTTATTTTTTGTGAGAGACATATGTTTTACACTTGAAGTCCTAAATGTGTTTCTTCTTCATATTCCCAATCCGTTGTGAAAAAACCATAAATAAAAAGCTTTGTACAATTTCGAGTAAACCTTAGCCATTTATTCAATGCTTAAATGTTATTTTCTATGTCACCATATCTATGCTCAGTTATTTTGTCAATTTTCTATTCAGTTGGCTTAGTTTTTGTTTCAATTTTGCTGCTTTATTTGGGGTTTGAACGGTTTCTTTGTTGCATGCATCAAATTTAAATTTTGTTAGTTGTTGCCATAGATTGCTGCTCCTTTTGCTCTACTTTTCCTTTTCGTCTTTCCCAATTTACAAGTTCTTAAAACTTATTTTTGGTTATTATTGAAATATTGGTATTTTTTTTTTTCAATTTGTTGATAGCAGGTTTCCGTGCATTTTGCCTCTTCCCCTTCAGTATTCAATTTGAAGAGAATAAGAGAGTCAAAAATGGGAGGAAAAGCAAGTTGATGGAAAATTATGAAGAGTGATTTGATTTTTGAGTTGGTGCACCAATTCGGTGATAAAATTTCACAACTTTCAACATCAAATGTAATTGTTTGTTCGAATTGAAAATTTCTGGAAGCTCTCCTTCCAATTTCTAAGTTTATTTGTTTTTTGGTATGAAATATCCTATTGTTATCTATACAAGCTTGAAACGTATGACTATGCTCTTCTTTCCTATTCCTATTGATGCTTATCAAGAATTTTGCCTTTTTCCAGTCCGCCCTGAAGATTCCCAATACAGGCTTTACAACAATCCCTGCTTGCATTTTTAAAAAAAATAGATAGTGGCTGTCAAGCTTGACTAGTAGATATGATTCCCCTATAAGCAGAATGTTTGCCCTATGTTTCTTGGTATTCTTAGTAGCACAAACAAGGTCATGTATGCTAAGTCTTGTAACTCAAGGTTGAAACTTAGTGTTCTGAAATCTTGCAAATTTAATAGGCATATCATATTAGTAAATTGATGTAACTCAACATTCCTTAATCAACTTTTATTCTCTTGTGATTATTTCTCATACACAAACGACTTGAAGCTAACATGATTATTGGTTACTCTCTAGGATGATGATAACCATTCTTTGTCAAATGCTTCCATAATGTCCTTAGGATCTTCAAATTTGAATGTTATAGTTATTTTATCATCTATTATTGTGTGAGAGAGACTTGAGACTTGCTGCACTAACATGGAAAGTGGCTGACATGTTTGAGCAAGGTGTTGGAAACAAATGCTCTATTGAGGATTTCACTAACATCGAAGAGTTCTCTTACCATTTTGGAGCTATTAACTTAAGGTAAACAGATGGATATGAAAGGTACCTGAAGGCTGAATTGAGACATGTTACATGTAATTTCTTATTTTGGACATAGTAATTTCTATGTTTTATCAATTGGTTTAAAATTGTATACATATCTCATGATATTTGATAAAGAGAGCACACTAATAGAGGCTTGAACACTTAGTATCCGACCCTACTAAATAAAATTAATCACATGTAGAAGGTCTACTTGAAATACTTTTTCAAATTGATGAGAGTTTGTTGTACCAAAACGACTTCAACAAATCGTACCAAAAGTTATCTAACTTGTACAATTGTTAGAATATATGATAAAGATATTCTGATTCTTTGTATATATCACATTAGTTAAGTGTATATTTAGTTCCTCTTATAGCTAGTTAGTTTCATTAATTATAGCCTTGTATTGATTATATATAAACCATTGATATCAATGAAATAAGCAAGGGATTAAACTCTTTCATGGTATCAGAGCTCTAGGGGAAAACCTTCCGCTTTCTCTTCAATACCATTCCCCCCTCTCTTCTTCGTCTCATCGTGTCGGAATCAAAATATTCCTTTCACCCTGCTCTTGATGTATCCAACATCAAGAACCATGTTCCCATCGTTCTTGAGATGGAGAATGTCCAGTATTCCATATGGACGAAACTATTTAAGATTCATGCATGATCCCATTGAGTTCTTGACCATATTATTCTTCTGACAAAGGGCAATGAGAAAACGCTGAAAATAGAGGAGGAGAAAGATCTTTGGTCGACTCTTGATGCTACTGTTCTATAGTGGATCTATGTCACTATATCTCATGATCTTCTACATATGATGCTTGAGCCCGACACCATGGCAATAAAGGCTTGAAATAGATTACGTGACATATTCTAAGATAACAAACACTCTCGTGCCGTCACCCTTGAGTACGATTTCACTCATGTGAACATGGAAGATTTTCCAAGTGTCTCTGCCTATTGTCAGCACCTCAAATCTTTGTCGTATCAACTCAAGAATGTCGGCTCTCCCGTCGACAACAATAGACTAGTTCTTCAACTGGTCTCTGGTCTCACCGAACCCTACAAAGGTCTGGCCACTCTCATTCGCCAACGTGATCCTTTACCCCAATTTTATCAGGCCCGTTCGATGCTCACTCTTGAAGAGGCCGACCTTGCTAGGAAGGCGGCACATAAATCCTCATCAGTTATGGTTACTCGTGAGTCAACTAGCTCGCATGATATTGTTGATCATTCATCTTCACACCGCAATACTAATGGTAGGAAGAGGAACCAATACCACAACAATAATCGCAACAACAATAGTGGTCGTAGAGGCAGCAAGGGTGGTAGCGGTGGTGGGGGTAAGGCTGGAGGTGGTGGTCAGATGGGGGGTGGCAACAGCCGCGATGGCGGACAACAGCCAACAGGTCAGCATCCGCCACCTAATTCTTCATGGGCTGGAGGTCAGTCGTGGCCTTGGATGGCACCATGGGCTCCCTGGGCTATACCTTCTTGTCCAAATCCGTCAAACTCATGGATAAGGCCCAATTATGAACAGCAGCCGAAACAGTAGCCTGGTATACTTGGGCCCAGATCGCAGCAGGCTTACACGACAGCTCCATCTCCAACCGACATTGAAGCTGCAATGCATACTCTTGGAATCACTCCTCTGGATGCGAAATGGTACATGGATACCGGGGCCACTTCTCATATGACATCCGTACGAGGTAACCTCACGTCTTATTTTAATATGAGCAATAAACGTGGTATAATAGTTGGAAATGGTCAATCAATTCCAATTAATGGTTATGGTCATACTAAATTATCTTCGTTGTGTCCTTCCTTACAATTAAACAATGTCTTTCATGCCCCTCACCTTGTTAAAAATTTGGTGTCTGTTAGAAAATTTACAACTGATAACTCTGTCTCTGTTGAATTTGATCCGTGTGGGTTTTTTGTGAAGGATTTTTGGATGGGGAGACTGGTAATGAGGTGTGAAAGTCGGGGCGAGCTGTATCCCATCACTACTCCAACCACTTCTCCATCTACTTTTGCTGCTTTGACACCATCCATTTGGCATGATCGTCTGGGTCGCCCGGGAATACCTGTTTTGAACTCTCTTAAGAAGAATAAATTGATTGAATGTAATCAAATTAAAGACACTCGTATTTGTCATTCTTGCCCTCTTGGAAAACATGTTAAGTTGCCCTTTTATCCTTCAAATTCTCGCACTGTTATGCCATTTGATACTATCCATAGTGATCTTTGGACGTCCCCTGTTTTGAGTTCATCGAGTTATCGATATTATGTCTTGTTTGTGGATGATTATTTTAAAAAATTATGGACTTTTCCTTTATCGCACAAATCACAAACGTTTTCCACATTTTTGAGTTTCAAGACATTTATTCGAACCCAATTTGAGTGTGACATAAAGAATATATAATGTGATAATGGCACGGAATTTGATAATTGCCCCTTTTGGGATTTTTGTAAAGCAACTGGTCTTTCGTTTCGTCTTTCCTGTCCTCATACATCCCCTCAAAATGGGACAACTGAAAGACAAATTTGTACGATCAACAACATTGTTCGTACCTTATTGGCCCATGTTTCCCTTCCTCCTTCCTTTTGGCATCATGCGTTGCAAATGACGACTTACCTTCTCAATATCCTTCCTCATAAGCTATTAAATTATCAATCTTCTTTCCACATCCTTTAGCATAAAGATCCATCTTATTCTCATCTTCGGGTGTTTGGGTGTTTATGTTATCCTCTTATTCCCTCTACAACCATAAACAAACTCCAACCTCGGTCAACTCCTTGTGTTTTTTTTGGGTATCCGTCAAATCATCGTGGGTATAAGTGCTTCGATTTGTCATCTAGAAAAATCATCATTAGCCGTCACGTAAAATTTGATGAGACACAATTTCCCTATGCAAAGTCTCATACTCCTCAAACTCACACTTATGGGTTTCCAGATGATGGGCCATCTCTCTACCTGGTCCATCATTTCTGTCACGACCTGGGAGTACCCCCTAGTCGTAACCGGCGTACTCGACCTCGAAGAGGTCTAATACAAGCCTCTTAGCATTCATTCATCGCATAGACATAAAAAACCATAAGGAATTTAAAACTTTCTTTACCAAGAAAATATTTCATAAAAAAAAAATATAGCAAGCGGAAGACGTTCTAGACTTTATACATGATGTCTCAAAACCATCTAATACTTTAGAGTACAAAATTCGGGATCAATCCCATACACAACTTAAACAATACTAAAAAGATATAAAAGAACATATGGGGTATTGTCCTCGAATATATGAGGACTCACCAAGTCTTCATCTTCAACACTTAGAAACCTATCAAATAGCCATGACATGTCATCATCTCCAAATCCCTACACTTTAGTCGAAAAAGGGAAAGAAAGGGGTTAGCACAATTAAGTACTAAGTATGGAGACCATGCAAAAACATGCCAAAAAGGACATTTTCAAGGAAGTAAATGCTTCCATATCATTTGATAAAACATTTCCTTTACAAGTATAAGAGACATAATACAAGTCAACATTAACATATAAGACCATAGCCAACCATACATATACTCAACATATGTCCATATACAACCCATGCTTAACTTTAAAAGAACACATGTCATTTCATTACCATAGGACCTCTATCTAATATATTCTTAAGACACACTTGAGTGAGACAAGAAGTGACCGCCCATACAACCTCTTCAAGCACACTTAAGTGTTCCCCAAGATTACCTTAGATAAGGACATTTCCTTTACAACATAACATCAATAGACCAACATTCTTTAAGAAACCATTTTGGAGACATTCAAGCACATAAGGGGACTTTCACATAATAGTCGTTAGACTTAGGGAACTCACTTTAGTATCTTCAAAGCCTACTCGTGCCATGTGTAGATAGCATCCCATACTACTACCTACACGTTGTAGAACCTATCCAATAGCTAGAGTGCACATCCCACATGATGGGAATAGGCATTAACCGACATAGACCATGCGAGCTAGACATGGAATTCGGTGTCATAAAACCCTACACCGTGGAAGGTGTTCTACTTGCCAAGGGTAGAACTAGGACACATCCCATGTAGGCACATGGTTTAGGGGATATCCAAAGATGTTCATTGTACTCTTGCCTCATACTCGGGAGAGCTACCATCTTAACTATATCCACTCGGTGCTTAGCCTTAGTTCCCATAAAGTAATTTCATTCACATGTATGTGCTAGAGAGGGCACCATCATTAGGTCTACCGACCCATAACACATCTACCAAGAAGAGCACCACAAGGATCTACCGATCAAGGTTCATTAAGGATAGCTCATTAAATCCCCCTGGAAGGGTGCCTTAGGCCTACCGATTTTTCATTAAGGGTGCCTTAAGCCTACCGGTCCAAGGTTCATCATTTCACACATGAGAAGGGCTACCACCATTAGGTCTACCGATTTCATGGTTTTACATTTACTTAGGAAAGCTAGACTTATGAAAGGGCACCATTTCTTAGTTTTGCCGATTCAAGTCTTGGCCTAGAATTCCTCTTTTAGCATTTATAGAAAGGGCACCATTTCTTAGTTCTAGCCCACTTCACACTTTCATGCATTCAAGACTTTAAGTAACAAGGAGGGACACTTTAGTCTACCAACCAAGTCACAACATTTTCATTTAAGGATACTTCATAATCCAACATCATTTCATATATACATCATGAGAAATCATACTTTAACTCACAATGCTATCCACTTTACATAGGATCATCACAAGATCACATAAAACTCATTCACATCATATCTTCACATATAGCTTCATATAAAACTCATTCACATCATACCTTCACATATAGCTTCACATAAAACTCATTCACATCATACCTTCACATATAGCTTCACATAAAACTCATTCACATCATACCTTCACATATAGGTTCATATAGGACTTTACATATAGCCTCATTTATATATAATAATATAACAATACAATAACACTCATATAATGCCCTTCATGGCCTCAATTCACAATAATACAATATTCCAACATTATGCAACAACTTCCCCAATGCCTTCATGGCTACAATTCACAATAATATCACACAAGAACAAGATATAACACTTCCACCAAAGGTGGATTCAACCTACCAACAACAATCAATTCAATAAAGAGAGTTCAAACTTTCTTACCATAATTCAAAGTCATAGCCAAAATCATCAAAAATCCAACCAATCACCAATACCTCACCCATAAGGCTTACCACCCTTAATTCACCCATTATCAACAATTAATCATGAATAAACATTAAACAACACAAGAGATATCAATACAATTCACTTTACACATAATTCCATCAACTTTGAATTTATAGAAATAGACCCACTTCATAAACAAATTCAGGAGTTTAGGGAAATCATGGGTTCTTCAAGGAATTCTATATGAAATCATCTTAAAAACATTAATCAAACATTAATTCATCAATATAATGGCTTAGAAAACGTTTTGCCAATGAACCCATGCTTAGATTAGAATTTGAGATTTTATTTATTCTTTGAAACATTTTTTATTGGACTCCTTGAAAGAAAGATTGATCAAGGATCAAGGGTCACCATACCTCTAAGTTGAAAACCCACGAAAATTGAAGAAGAAGGAACTCAAAATCTTCAACCCTAGCTCCAACTTCTTCTTCTTCTTCTTCCTCTCTTCTTCTCTTCTTCACTCAAGAGCCCTAACTCTTACTCTTTTAAAATGGAACAAAAATGATCCACAATCAGCCTAACACAATAATATAACCTCAAAAGAAAAGATTTGTGAAAAGACCAAAATGCCCTTAAATTTTCGGACGGACTCCTTGCCAACTGCCAACTTTCAAAGGGCATAACTCGCTCATACGAACTCGGAATCGAGCAAACTCGGTGGCGTTGGAAAGATCGTTCCAAGGGCTTTCCAAACATAACTGGAACTACTCCTGGATCATCCTGAGCTAGGAGTTATGACTGCTCAAAGTTGGCCAAAAACTCACTGATTTCCCACACTTAACCAAATTTCCAGATTCAGAACTTTTTCCAAAAGTGACTACTTCCAATTTCAAGCTTCTTCATATTCATTTTAAATTGTCGGATGTTACACAATTAAAACGAAATTACATAAAAACCCCTCATAGAACCTCATTATAAAGTCAACACAAAGTCGTAGGCTCTTGCTTAACCTATCATTTTTTCCGAGTCGTTACAATTTCACTACCTTTCCTAACCCATAAATTGCACCTGTTCATAACGCACCCGCACCCACTTCGCCTAGCCTAGCGAGTGGTTCCGTTGTGCCCAACGTGCGGCACGACCTTCCCAGTCCACCACTGGCCTTCCCCAGTCGACTACACCGAGCCCATCTACTCATTCCACTCTCTCATCCAACTCTCTTCCTCGCCCTACTCCAATCTCTCCCTCACATCTGCCTACGGGTCCAGTTACTAGGAGTCAACATGGGATTTCAAAGCCTAAGAAGTCTTTCAGCCTTCTTACATCAGCATCTTAATCACCCCTCCCTCGTAACCCTGTGTCTGC